TGCCTCCTGTGCCCGGCCCTGGGGGCCGCCTCAGGCCGGGCCCGGACAGCCCCTCGGAGCGCCGTCCCGAGCCCGGAGGCGGCGCGTCCTGCGTCCCAGCACTGGACGGGCCCGCTTGGTCGGGTGTCCCGCAGGCCTCAGCGTTTGCTGGGCGAGTGTGTGACAGAGAGGGAGGGGGCGTATGGCCTGTGCCCCCAGCAGGCATGTCATCAGATGCGGGCAGCCCAGGTCTCTTCACGTTTAGCTTTTGGAGACAGGACTTCACTGTCGCCCAGGCTGGAGGGCAGTGGCACCATCACAGCTCGCCACTGCCTCGACCTCCAGGGCTCAGGTGATCCTCCCGAGTAGCTGGGATTATGGGCACCACCACACCCGGCCTTGGCCTCCCAAAGAGTGGGGACGACAGGTGTGAGCCTCCACACCCCAGCCCCTGGGCACAGAGCTGAGGACATAGAGGTGCAAAAAGCAGGCTTCGGTCCAGCCCCCCGGAATCCACACCCAGCAAACCATCTGCTGGAGGGCGGAGTAGGGCTGATCTCATGTGGCTGGGCTGGGCTCCATGAGAGGCAGGAAGGGGTGGCCAGGGACCCTGGGGGCCTCAGGGACCATGCAGGGTGCGAGGGGGGGTGCTCTCAAGGACCACAGGGGCGGGGAGCAGCCCCTGGCCCAGCCAACCCCCCAACGGCCCCAGGCCCGGCCACCTTCCCTTCCCTCTCAGCCCTGGCCCTGCTCTGTCCCAGCGGGGGCTGGGGTGCAGCCACCTGCTGTCCCAAGTCCACCGCAGGGCCACACCCCCACTCATAGCTTCCGGCCAGGCCTGTCCCACTTCCTCCCCGTCACAACCCAGTGCCTGCAGGGACAGGACGCAGAGGCTTCACTTTCTGTGGTTTCGGCTTCGCTTCCTCCCGGTGCAGAGGTTTCAAATCCCACCTTGCGTTCAGCGCCTCCTCCAGCCGCCCCCATGCTTGCCCCCCACCCCTCATGCACCCACCAGCCACCCCGACCCAGGCCCTGGAGCTGGAGGAGCAGAAGGGTGGGCCATGGCACTTGTGCTCCAGGAAACGGCAGCCCGGGCCTATCTGAGGCTAGGATCCTGGGAACCTTCAAGGCTCTGAGCAGGCCTGCAGCTCAGGGTGGCAGTAGCCATGACTGGTCCTGTGCGTGGAGCCAGAGCTCATGGGGGTGTGCAGTGGGTTGACGTGCGTCCCCCTAAGGGACACATCCACGTCCTGACCCTGGAGCTTCCAAATATCTGGAAAGAGGGTCTTTGCAGGAGTTACTCAGAATCTTGAGATGGGACCATCTGGGTTGAGGGGGCTCCCAATCCAATGGCATGTGTCCTCCTAAGAGGAGGGACACAGGGCCACCGCTTCGGGTCCCCTCCCACTGTGGGGGCTTTTCTGTCCTCTCAAATCCTGCTCTCTGGAAAAAAAGCAAAAGCAAAAGAGGAGGGACACAGAGACCCGGAAAGAAGAGGCAGAGTGGGAGGGATGGTCGACAAGCTGAGGGACACCAAGGGTGGCCAGGCCACCAGCAGCAGCAGCTCAGCAGCCCGGGTCGCTCCGCCTGCAAGCCGCCAGGAGGCCCCGCCCTGTGGACACCTCCACCTTGGACTTCAGGCCTCCCCAACGGGGACAGAACCCATCCCTGCCGCCTGAAGGCCCCGGGAAGTCCAAAGCCCGGGGGCAGGCTCTGCCCTCCACCCAGAGGACTGAGGGTTGGTGCCCCAGGGTCCCCCCGGGTACCACCATCAAGAACCGCGAGACGGGAGGCTTCCGGCCATGCTCCTTTTAATCTCAGGCCGCCCGGGAGGGCTGGTGGCCTTGTGGCCTCTCTCGACAGAGCCCGGGTGGGCGGCCGGCAGGGCCCAGCCCCTCTAGCCGCGTGTGGAGGACGTACCCCGCGGCTACAAGGTGGAGTGCTTCTCGAAGGGCACGGTCAGGAGCCGCGCAGCAGCCTCATCCAGGAACCAGCACAGCTTTCCGGCGTGGGGCTGCACCCGGGCGGCCGGCAGAGGGTCTGCCTCCTTGTCCTCGAGGATGCGCTGCGGGAGGCAGGAGGGGGAGGCTGCACCCGGGTCCACGCCCCACAGAGAAGACCCGCAACGGGGGACGATGCCCCGCGGAGATCCCGGCTTCCCACAGGTGGCAGGGACAGGCTCCCTTCCTTCCTGTCACCCGACACTGGGATGTGGGCCAGAGGTGGTGGCTCACTCCTGTAATCCCAGCTATTTGGGAGGCCGAGGTGGGAGGACTGCTGGAGCCCAGGAGCTGGAGACCAGCCTGGGCAACATAGCGAGACCTTGTCTCTACAAACAATAAGAAACTAGCTGGGTGTGGCACAGGCCTGTAGTCCCAACTACTCGAGGCAGGAGGATCACCTGAGCCCAGGAGTTGGAGACTACAGTGAGCCGTATGCACGCCACTGGACTCCAGCCGGACCACAGACAAGACCCTGTCTTCCTGTCTTAACACACACACACACACACACACACGCTCAAGACTGAGGTTGGCACCGCCCCTGTGCAAGACACCAGAGAGCAGGTGTCCTCAGTGCTGCAGACCCCACGGTCTCTGTCGGAACCGCTCAGCCCTGTGGTCACAGCCCCAAAGTAGCCCGTCACACAGATGGGCGTGACCCTGTGCCAAGCAGCCTTCATGTTTGGACAGGACACTCGAATTTCATAGAATCGTCCAGGTCAAGGAATACCTTGCTTGATTTGGCTTTATTTTACAGCAGGAAGTACCCAGGCTGGAACGCAGGGGTCCAGACATGGCTCACCGTAGTCGCCACCTTCTGAGATCAGATGATCCTCCCACTTCAGCCTCCCACGCATTTCAGTTTTTCAGAGATAGGCTGTTATGTCGACCTGGCCTCAAGCGATCCTCCCACCTCAACCTCCTGAGTAGCTAGGACTTCAAGCATGCACCACCATACCTGGCTTTTCATTTAATTTTTTTCCCAACCCCTTCAAAAGCTACACACCAACCAGACAAGGTGTCTCACGCCTGCAACCTGAGCACTTTGGGAGGCCAAGGCGAGAGGTTCCCTTGAGCCCAGGAGTTCAAGACCAGCATGGGCACCACAATGAATCCCTGGCTGTTACCTTCAGAACGGCTGCCTTGCCTTCTCCAGTCGCCACGAAGATGACGGTTCTGGCTGCATTCAGGACAGGCAGAGTGAGGGTCACGCGCTGAGGCGGGGGCTTCGGGGAGTCGGTGATGGGGGCCACAATCTTGTCTCGCTCCTGGGGGTGGAGTCGAAGGAGGACTTCACTCCTCCCTCTGGGGCACAAACACACGGGGCCTGGCCTGGCCCAGCCTCGGCCCGCCCCGTCCTCACCATCCCAAGGCGGGTGATTTCCGCCTCTGTCTGAAAATGGGTCAGCTGAGGCTCAGACGGGTGGGCCCAGCAGGAACGGACGCTGGAAGGCTGACCTGAACCCCGGCTCCGGGCCGCCCCGAAGCCCCAGACACCAGGGACTGGGGCGCAGGATGTGGAGGCTGGCCTCCTGGTGGTGCTCACCTGCAGGAGAGGGTGATCTGGGAAAAGGGAGCAGGTGTGGCCGTCTGGGCCCACCCCCAGGATCAGCAGGTCAAACACCGGGATGGAATCCCCTTGGAAGGCCTGGGCGGGGAGGAAAGACAGTCAGGAGGGTGGAGGGTGGCGTAGGTGGAGTCCAGGGAGCAGAGACCGTTGGCAGAAGGAAGACGGGCGCGGTAGCTCACGCCTGTCATCCCAGCACTTGGGAGGCTGAGGCAGAAGGATCAGTTGAGCCCAGGAGTCGAGAGCACCCTGAGCAACGTGAGACCGCGACTCTACTTTAAACAAAAAACAACGAGAGAAAAGCATGAGTGGCTGTAACACAGAAAGCAGTGCCCAGCCTCGCCTGTGGTCAAAGAGTCTGGGGCACAGCCGTCCCCAAGATGCAAGGACCCAGGCCTGCTACCCAGGCACAGAGGCCAGGTGGTGCCAGTTCCCCGTCACGGCAGATGGGAGTCCCCAGGGGAGCCGGCTGAACCCCAAGGCGGTGCCTGCGGTGGCAGCCACAGGGCTTCTCGGCTGCCCCTCAGGCCTCACCTGCCGCAGCTTCTTGGCGTAGTCCTCAGCGGCTGCCTCCGCGGGCAGCTCGGGGTCGATGGTGATCACCTGGCCGTCTGGGATGGGCAGTCTGGAGAGCAGGTGCGTCTGCAGCCGAAAGGACAGCGTCACCAGCATGTGGCCACGGGACCCTCCAGGCCGTGACTGTCATGACCCCCACTTACAGACCAGGAGACGGCAGTGCAGGGAAGCCGCTGCGTCTGCTCAAGGCCCCTCAGGTGAGCGACGCGGCCGCTGCCTGAACCCCAGGTGGGGCTCCCAACCCTGGGCAATGCCGCCTCTCAGGGCAGAGGAGGTTGGGGGCAAGTGGGGCCCCGCTGCCCTCAGGGTTGGTAGGAAGGTTCCTGGGGCAGGAAGCGGGGCCTGCTGGGTGAGTCGGATCACGGTGGCTCCTGTCCCCTAAGCACTAGAGAGCAAAGGTGGCCCGAGGGCCACGGCCAGCGTTCCTCAGGGGCCTTCTGAGTCCACTGCGCCTGTTTGCCATGGCCACTGCAAAGTCTCCAGCATCCTTCAGGGTCCGGCCCTTCATTCATTTCAATGGTTTCCAGCTTAATCATAAAAATGCATCTAATGCTACAAATTTGCCTGAGTGCAGCTTTGCTTTTCACACCAATTTTGTTTGGGAGGAAACTCAGCCCCTCACTGATCTCACCCGCCCCATCCTCCTTCCTGTCCCTCCCTCCTTCCCGTCCCTGCCTGGGAAACTCCTACACATCCCTCAGGCTGCCTCTCCCAGCAGGCACCCTGCCTGCACCTCCCCTACTACAGGGGGTGGAGAATGGTGGGCAGTACTGCCCAAGTCCAGCACATGAGCCCAGCAGGCACCCTGGCCTGTGAATGGTGGCCAAGTGGACAGCAGATTTATTTTTACTTTTATTTGAGTTGGAGTCTCACTCCATCGCCCAGGCTGGAGTGCTGTGGCACGCTTACAACCACCCCAGCGTCAACCTGCTGGGCTCCAGCCATCCTTCCGCCTCAGCCTTCCAAGTAGCCAGAACTACAGGCACGCACTACCACGCCCAGCTAATATTTTGGTTTACCACAGAGATAGGTCTCACTAAGTTGCCCAGGCTGGTCTCCGACCCAGGGCTCAGGCAATCCTCTCACCTTGGCCTTCCAAAGTACTGGGATTACAGGCTTGAGCCACCGCACCTGGCTGGGGGCAGATTTAACTCGAAAGGAGCTGAAGTCAGGCCTCCTGCAAGCAGAGGCTCCAGCCTGTCCCATGGTGTGCCCAGGGCTGCCCTGACCCTCCCTGTGTCTCTCCTCTGAGGAGTCCAGCTCAGCCGAGGCCAGCCTGCGCTGAGCCATGAAGGAAACGCAGGGAAGTGGCAACAGTCCAGTGTGCCCGGAGCAGGGGTGGGAGGTTGACGGGGGACACGCTGACAGACCCACCGGAGGACGGGCTCTCCACGGAGGGCCCTGGGAAGCCAAGGAGAGGGTGTGAGTGGGGACGGGACAGGAGGCCCACTGCCAGAAAGGCCTCTGCTTGTCCACAGCCGTGCCTGGGTTTGTTCCTGCTGCTGTCACAAAGTGCCAAGGGGCAGGCAGCTTACGAACCACGGGAATGTACTGCTCAGAGGTCTGGAGGCTGGAAGTCCGAGGGCACGGCCCCAGCAGACTTGGGGTCTGGGGCAGGGGCTCCTTCCTGGTGTGCAGACAGCGGCTCCTCGCTGTGTCGTCCCATGGGGGAAGAGGAGAGGGAGCTCCCTGGGGTCCCTTCTGTCAGGCCCTGAGCCCATCCTGGAAGCTCCACCTCATCGCCTCCCAACGGCCTCACCTCCTACGTCACCACCTTCAGGTCAGCATTTAAGTGGAACCTGGGGAGGCTGGGCACGGGGGCTCAGGCCGGCAGTCCCAGGGCTTTGGGGGGCTGAATCAGGAGGAGGCCTAAGGCCAGGGGCTTGAGGGCAGCACAGCAAGACCTCGTCTCGGAAGAGAAAAAAAAGGAATCCAAGGAACACAAGCGCTCAGCCCATGGCAGCCCTCCCTACCCAGCTCTTGGGGACGTCACCAAAGCACGGGGGGTGGGGGGCGTTGCTGCTCCTCCTCTGCCGCCTGAGCCCCCGGACGCCTGCGCTCCCCCACCCCACCGGGCTGTCCTGTTCGCCCAGCGGCTCCCTCCTACTTGGTGGCGCGCCCTCGATGCAGAGGCTCGGAAGTCCCGGAGGGTCTGTCTCTTCACCCCGGGGCCCCTCACCGACCTCCCAGGAGCCCCCCGGCGGGGCAGCAGGCACAGACTTGGACCCAGACACACAGAGGCTGCAGGCTCCCAGGGGGTGCCTGGGAGGCGCGCCAGGGTGGGTCCGCCATGAGGACACGG